CCTCATGACGAAGGTACGGGCGCTAATGCGGCAGGCAAAGCTCCCGCCGATCTACTGGACCTACGCGATGCACCATGCCGTGCGGGTGCACAACCTGCTGTCAACCACCGCAATCACTGGCAATTAATCGCCGCACGTGAAATGGACGGGAAGAAAGGGGGACACCTCCATGCTCCGCGTCTGGGGCTGCATGGTTCAATACCGACCGCCAACATCAACCATCGGGAAGTTCAAAAGCCGCGCGCGCTGGGGAATCCATCTCGGTATCAGCCACGAACACAAGGCGTGGATCATCCTGGATCTCCTAAGCCAGAAAATCAAGAATGCGCGCGATGTCATCTTCTACGAGCGACTGTTTCTGCAAAAATTTCGTGACGACGAGCAGACGAATGCAAACCGCGTCTACGCCAACGAGGGCCACAGCTACGCCTCACCTGAGGACGAAGTAGCAGCAGCAATTCTGGAGCAGGATCCCAGAGGCGAGTTCACAAGGGGCGATCGCCGCGACGACGACGACGACGATGACGATGATTCAGGTGAAGGAGGAACAGGCGCAACAGGAGGAGGCGCAGCAGGAGGAAGCAGAAGCGGCGGAGACACAGCACCGCCAGCACCGCCTGAACCAGAAAGCGATGATGACGACGTGCAGGAAGTCGTCACTCAACATCGCCACGACAGCACTGTCACCGGTCTCCAGCTACTCGGACTACACGCTGCCATCTCCACTGCTCCGCGCATCATCGAACCTAAGAACCCACGGCAAGCTCTCACAGGCACACACAGCAAGGAGTGGCGCGAAGCAATGGATGCGGAAATCCGGGCACTCGAGTCGCGCGACACCTGGGTGCTCGTCGACCGTGCAGCAATAAAGGGGAGAAGGATTCTCTCCGGCAAATGGGTCTTCCGAGTGAAGACAGGAGCCGACGGAAGGATTGGGCGATTCAAGGCACGCTGGGTGGTGCGTGGCTACGATCAAAGGCACGGGATTGATTTTGACCAGACATTCGCACCGGTCAGCCGTCACACGCCCGTCAGAATTCTCCTCGCCATCGCAGCCGCACGACACCTACCACTCCGGCAGATCGATGTGAAGAATGCGTTCCTGTACGCATTAGTGGACGCCGTGATCTACGTGGAACAGCCACACACTTACGGCGGCGGAGACCCACGCGTCTGTCAGCTACGCAAGTCCCTCTATGGGATCAAACAGGCACCGAGACTCTGGCAGTAGTACCTGCACAACATACTGCTTGAAATCGGGTTCAAGCAGCTGCCTCACGATCCTGGAATGTATCGCCGCGATTTCCACGGCGAATACATCCTCCTCACGGTCTACGTCGACGACCTTCTCTACACAGGCTCAAGCAACGAACTGCTCGAGCAATTTGAGAGAAGCCTCGCAGGGCGCGTCGACATCACCTGCAATCATGACGTGAAGCAGTTTCTCGGACTCAACATCACCTACTCGCCGGAAGCCATTCATCTCTCAGCAGCGAAGTATGCGGAGGAGCTTAGCAAGCGCTTCAACATTGCGCCTGCACCACTCTCCACCCCTTACCGCACTCCAGGACCCAACCACAAGCCTGACAACAAAGCCCTGTCCCCTGCTGGGCTTCACACTTACCAGCAGCAGTTGGGATGCCTGCTTTTCGCATCTGTTACCTGCAGGCCCGACCTCTCCTACATTGCGAGCTAGTTGGCTCAGTACTCACGCAAACCAACGGCTGAGAATCTCTCAGATCTTCAGCGAGCCCTTCAATTCTTCATCTCCACGCCCAATGTCGGGCTCAGTTATTCCACCATCCCAACCACATCCTTCAGCCTCGTCGGCTACGTGGATGCCGATCACGCCGCTGACCCTGACAATCGACGGTCCAGGACAGGGTTCCACTTCCGCCTCGAGCCCAGCGGCCCCATCTCCTGGAACTCTCAGAAGCAAGAGTTGGTTGCCCTGTCATCGGCGGAAGCTGAATTTATCGCAGCAACAGCAGCTGTTCGCGAAGGTCTCTACCTTCAGGAACTGCTGCAGGAAGCAAAAATTCCGGCCTCAACGAACTTTCGCCTGCACTGCGACAATCAGAGCGCGATCAGGATCGCGAACAAACCTGGTTTCGTCAACCGCACCAAGCACATCGCACTGCGGTACTTCTTCGTCAAGGACGAAGTTGACAAAGGCAAAGTTGACCTGACATACTGCCCAACGGGTGACATGGCAGCAGACTTCCTCACGAAGAGACTGCCGCGTCAGCAGTACCAGCACTGCTCCGAACTCAGCGGGGTAGTCAAGCGGGTCAATGCTCGCTACGGCCAGGAGTGAAGGGGGGTGTTACGAATAGTAGTTAATGAAAAACACTGTTGCGCACTCCTCACCGTAGTAAAGCCGAAGCACGCACTATCGAGAGTGAAGACGAAAAGCCAGAAGAAAGTCGAAGGGACAGACGGTTACGAGGAGCATCTGGACCGTCGGGCAGACAGCATCAGGCAGCAGCAGGCCCTCAGATTCACTTTTAGGGACGTTGATGCATCAGGGTCCCTGTGAAAAAAAGCCTGAATTTTCAGGGTTCCTAAAAAAAAAAGCCTGAATTTTCAGGGTTCCGGAAAACAAGAGCCTGAATTTTCAATTACATCATGCAATTGTGCAAGAGAGTAGCCTTTAAAGCGACGGTGCACATTTGCCACCCAAAACCCAGAACCCTGGCGAACTGTTACTGCGGATGGAAAGTGTCCGCACGAAATCCTGGTTTTCGCCAGCCAGCACTTTCGCGCTGGCAAGCCTGGTTAAAAAAAAAAACTTCTGAACCCAACACTGCCAAAAGTTGCCCGTCGCTTTAAGAACATGGTGGTAGAGGGATTCGAACCGGAAACCTTATCAATCGGTATCTACTTCGCTAACCACTAAGCCAGTTCATGGAGTCGACGATCGGTATTTTTTACATAAGATTTTATGATGCGGAAATGTTGGTTGTCTTATTGTCTCGGGTGTTTTACGGGAAGGATTCGGAATGTGCATTCAGTGTACACTTCGATAAAAGTCTGAAACATCAGTGTTAGCTATGAAGTAAAGGCTGAAAAAATCAGTGTCACAAAAATCTCAACACTGAAAATTCAGTGTAGGTACACAAAACTAGGCTGAAAATCAGGAATTTCAGGGGAAAATTCCTGATATCGTAGGGCCTGGGCAGCAGCAGTGGCTTCTGCCCGAACAGTTACGTAACCACTCGGAGTCGCACGGTTGGATTTCGATGCAATAAGGGAATGTACCCCTTAGAGTACATGGCTAGTTAGGTCGTTTCGAATTCCCCTGTACTCATATTTATATTCCTTGTACTGCACGTGTTTATTATCTCAAAGCATTTTACATTCACTCTGCTATTGAGTTCAAGGGCCCACCAACATCACTTCTCTGCGTGCGAACCATCCTGAGGTGATCCTGGTTACAATCACTTTCTGATTTTAGCAAAATCAAACAGTCAGAAAATATGACCTTGGAGCGTGCCACCACCTACATCAAGAGAGGCAGATGAGCAACATCCACCATCCCCACACCTCCTGTTGCTGGCCTCTCTCACCTATACCATCAACCAATCGCACCTGTTTAAGTTTAAACCTTTCTGCAGCCCTTCCACCAGCAACATTACTTTCCCTTCGAGCAGCCAAGGACACTACCACCGCCTCCCTCTCCTCCGTTGCACATGCGTGGCTTGAAGCCTTCTTTCACTGCCTGCTCAGCCATCCTGTGCTTCCAGCCTCGCCGTAACAAGGTTAGTCAGTCTGCATGTGCACGGCCTGTAGTAGCCATACCATCAATCACACATCTGCTTGTGAATGCTACTCTGGCACCGCTGTGTGCACGCCACGCTGCGCCTCGCCACGCACTCCATGCCAAACATGCCGTCATCTTGGGATCATCGGATGCGGGGCAGCAGCAGGAAGCCATCGAAGCCAGGGTGCCGGCCTGCTGTGCTGCGCACCGACCGCCTTCCTCTACCCGCCCCTCCCTCCACCACCCCGCCTCCCCTGCTCCCACCTTCTGCACCACCTGCTGCACCCTCTCGCCCCAAACTCTCACTCTCACTCGCTCTGCCATGCTGCCACACACTGCCAACTGTCACACCCTCTGCTGCCGCTGCTGTTGCGCTTTCATGTGGCCGAGGGCTCATCTTCCCCTGGCCTGCTGTTGCGCTTTCATGTGGCCGAGGGCTCATCTTCCCCTGGCCTGCTGTTGCGCTTTCATGTGGCCGAGGGCTCATCTTCCCCTGGCCTGCTGTTGCGCTTTCATGTGGCCGAGGGCTCATCTTCCCCTGGCCTGCTGTTGCGCTTTCATGTGGCCGAGGGCTCATCTTCCCCTGGCCTGCTGTTGCGCTTTCATGTGGCCGAGGGCTCATCTTCCCCTGGCCTGCTGTTGCGCTTTCATGTGGCCGAGGGCTCATCTTCCCCTGGCCTGCTGTTGCGCTTTCATGTGGCCGAGGGCTCATCTTCCCCTGGCCTGCTGTTGCGCTTTCATGTGGCCGAGGGCTCATCTTCCCCTGGCCTGCTGTTGCGCTTTCATGTGGCCGAGGGCTCATCTTCCCCTGGCCTGCTGTTGCGCTTTCATGTGGCCGAGGGCTCATCTTCCCCTGGCCTGCTGTTGCGCTTTCATGTGGCCGAGGGCTCATCTTCCCCTGGCCTGCTGTGCGTGTGCCTGGCATGCCACTCTCAATCGCCCGCACCCTGTCTCCACTTCTCTTATCTTGGCTATCTCCCCTGCCTTTCCTCCTCTGACCCTCACCGCCCTTCCCTTCTAGGCAGCAAGCCTTTTCTGCTGAGCTAGCAACCTTGGCTGCTGAGCTGGCAACCTTGGCGGTTGAGCTGGCAGTCATACCAGTAGAGGGGACAGTGGTACCAACAGAGCAGGCAGCAGTGCCAGCTGCTGTGCCAGCAGCAGCTGCTGCAGCAGTGGAGCCAACAGCGCAGTGAGCAGGTGCGTTGGGAGGAGCAGGAGGGTGTGTGGCAGCAAGAGCTCAAGGTGGCTCGGCCGTGCTGACAGCACCTGCCTTGGGTCGGTCGCTGCGCCGCTTCTTGAGGACCGGGAAGGAGAGAGCGGGCTGCTTGAGGGGCAATGTTGAGAGTTTGGAGATGCGGTCTGCAGTGGTACCGGCGGTGGCACTTGTGGTGGCACCTGTGGTGGCAGCTGCGGTGGTAGCTGTGGCGGCAGCTGTGGTGGCAGCAGTGGTGGCAGCTGTGGTGGCAGCTGTGGTGGCAGCTGTGGTGGCAGCTGTGGTGGCAGCTGTGGTGGCAGTTGTGGTGGCAGCTGTGGTGGCAGCTGTGGTGGTAGCTGTGGTGGCAGCTGTGGCGGCAGCTGTGGTGGCAGCTGTGGTAATAGCTGTGGTGGTAGCTTTGGTGGCAGGGCAGGATACCTGTGATGTGTCTCCACGGCTCGCGAGTGTATCATCTTGAGGCGCTCTTGCTGTTGCTCGTATGCTTGCTGTGGTTGTTCGTGTGGATCCTGTTGCGGTTACTCCATTGCTTCCTGCTGTGCGTGCTGCTGCTGTAGCGACGGCGGCTAACTCAGCTGATAGCAGCACAGCAGCTTGTTCTTCTGCTGCTGCCTTGCTGCGCTGCACCCCACCAGCACTTCCCGCACTGCCAGCACACCCATCCCCATCGCCATCGCCATCGCTGCTGTCTCCCGCCCTCACCTCACCGCCTCCCCCACCACTCCCCTCCCCTCCCTCTCTCCTCCTCTTCCTCACGGACCTGCTCCTCTTCCCACTCACTCTCACGCCTGCCCCTGCCTCACCCCCTGGGGTAGGCGGGCAGGCAGCTGGCGATGCCAGCGGTGCAGGCAGAGGAGCAGCAGCAGGGGAGGTGGCCGGGGGGGCAGGGAGTGAAGGGGAGAGAGGGCGAGAGGCCATGTGGGATGGATCGGTGGGTTGAGGAAGGGAGGAGCAGGCAGGCAGAAGCGGTGAGGTGATGCAGGAGGCGGGGGCAGGCTCGTATGTTACAGTCGGGCCACGGGGGCAGGTTGTAGCACAAGCAGGCACGGCCATGCAGCTGCCTCCTTGCAGGGCCGCTGCGTGCAGGGGGCGAGGGCTCCTCTTGCCCTTGGTGGCTGCGGCCGTGGCACCAGCGCCAGCTGAGGCAACTGTGGCAGCGGTAGCGACAGCGGTGGCAGCGGAGGCAGTACCACTGGTCGCCACACTGCATGCAGCCCTGGGAGCAACACTCACACTCGCTTCTGCTGCACCCCCAACAGCCACTGCTCCTGCTCTCCCCTTACCCACACGCACTGCCTTGCCTTCCCCGCCTGCTGCCAGCTTCCGCTTGGCACTGCGAGAGCCTTTCAGCCCGGACGCCTTCAGTTCCGAGGCAGCACCTGCGGTGCCGATTCCCCCACGTGCTGTCGCAACTGCTTTGCCTGACGGCGCTACAGTTTTTGCTACAGCCAGAGGCGTCGCTGTGCGTGCGGGAGAGGGTGCGGTGAGCAGCGATGCAGTGGGTGGTGCGGTGGGAGGAGGCGATTGAGTGGCAGGAGGAGTAGTTGCAGCGGTATCAGCCTTGAGGCGCGATGCCAGGCGGGCCACAGCGCGGCGCAGGGTCTGATAGTGGCGCGGGGTGGCAGGGAGAGGAGGGACAGGGAAGGGAGATAAGGTGAATGCAGCAAGAGGTGAATAGTCAGCAGCACTTGATCATCATTCTCCATGACGACAACAGCAGGTTCGCTGCTCACCTTGATCTCTGGGCGCAGGTCCACAGGCAGGGCAGAGGCGTGGCTGATGAGCGCGCGCAGATGTGACAGACGCTGGGCGGCCTGGCGCTCTGACAGCTGTGACTGAGATGAGAGTGCCTTGCTGAAGCAAGACAGCCACTCAGAACGGCATCAGTTGTGCCTACTGTGTGCGAGCCCTGGAGGACAGACAAGGGAGGGGAGGGGTGAAGGAGGAGGATTGAGAGATGGAAGAAGGTGGGACAGAAAAAGACTCTTGGCATGCACACAGAGAGTATAATGGAGCGAAGAGAGCAACGGAAAGACAAGAGAAGTGGGGTTGGAGACACTAAGATCTGCTCGTTACACAGTATCGCCGTAAGTGCAATTCTGTTTGTATAAGCCACTATCTCACCGTCTGCACCAGCTGTGCCAGGGTGGAAGGTCGGGGCCGTGGGCGGCCAATGAGAGCGCTACACGTGGCAGCCCTCCAGCAGTGGGCGGCCACTGCCCTCTGCATCACCGCCAGCGTGCCGCCCGCCCGACTTCCTCAGCACCAAGGTAGTCGACAGCGGCAGCAGAGGCGACCGAGGGGAGAAGGGGGGGAGGGGAACACCCGTCAAAGAAGGGCGTGCGGGGGTCGCCACAAGAGGCACCTACAGCAACTATGCTAGCCTCAGCTGCAAGCAGATGCTTCTCGAGCAGGTCAACGGTGAGCTCGGTGGGGCAGAGGGCGAGAAATTGGTCCCTGACTGCGCGAAGAGAGTCAGGGAGACGGGTGACTAGGTGGTAGAGAACGAGGTACATCGGGGGCGGATTCTTGGCGAGGAACTCAGCAGGAAGGGCGGCTCGGTAGCGAGTGTCACTAGTGCGGAGGTGTGTAATGACGTCAGCGACTGTGGGAAAGGCGGCCAAATCGGGGAAGAGATAGGGCAGCGAGAGACGGCCGATCGTAGCAGAGGCAGGCGAGGAGTAGCGCGCGACTACTGCATCGTACAGTGCCTTAGCAGTCTTGTGCTGGCCAAAATGCGCGCGCTAGTCTAACGGCCGGTGACTGCAAATGGCTAGGCGAGCGTGAGCGTCACGAGTCTGCCACTGGGAGCGAGCTGTACTGTCAGCAGTCTCTACAAGTGCTAGAGCGGTTCCGGACGCGTGATCATACAGTGAGACATCGTCCTTGGCAGTGATCTGTAGGAACAGGTGGAGGTCGTCGAGCCAAGCATCAATCTGAATCGGACGGCCCTCAGCATCGAAAGAGAGGACGGTGGGACTAGCCATAGTGGCAGCAGTAGCAGTAGCAGCAGTAGCAGTAGCAGCAGTAGCAGTAGGAACAGAAGCAGTAGGAGCGGGCGGAACAGCAGTAGCAGTAGGGCAGCGCGGCTCGGACAGGGCGGCGCGGCACGGTTCGGGCAGGGCGGCTCGGCGCGGCTCGGGCAGGGCGGCGCGGCGCGGCTCGGACAGGGCTATGCGGCGCGGCTCGGACGGGCAGGGCGGCGCTACGGTGGGCCTGCGCGTGGGCTGCTGTTGCGTACGGGCCGCGGCTGCGCGTGGGCTGCAGTCGCGCGCGGGCAGCGAGCTATGCGCTGGCTGCAGCGGCCGGTGCGCAAGCAGCTGCGACGCGCGGGCTGCGCGCGGGGCCGCACGAGGATGGCGCAGGCTGCGCGCGGGCGGTGCTGGTCGTGCGTGGGCGGTTAACGGCCTACGCACGCTAGAAACGGGCCGCGCGCGGGCGGCTAGCGGGCTGCACGCGCTAAAAACGGGCCGCGCGCGGGCGGCTAGCGAGCTGCGTACGGGCAGCGTGAGAGAGAGAGGCGCGCGAGGGCGCGAAAGTGGTAGGGCGCTCGAGGGCGCTTCTAGCAGAACGGTGGGCCCTTAGGACTAAGCGGTCCTAGGTTCCTAACCTAGGCTCGTAATACCATGTCAGAATGAACAAGATTGTTTGCACTAGGAAAGAGGTGGGTACAAGTAGGAAACCCTAAACTTACTGTACCCCATAGTAACTACCCCACTACAGCCTAAACCAACTGTAGCAGATATAACATTTGACACGCGTCCAGTCAGAATGAGCCGTCACGCCTGTGAAGTGACGTGCCAAAGCTCTGTGCACAGTCAGAGAATGCCCTCGCGCGATTCTGATTCAGGAACCTGTAGGATTTCGATTCGTTAGAATTTACGAGACTGAAATAGATTTTGGTGTGTTTAAATTGTATTTCTTTTTATATAAGCACCGGCGCTTATGGCCGTTACTCAATTACAAGACCCCCCTTAAAAAAATGAGTGTATTATAAGCGCATATGCGCTACTATCTGGGGCCAGACTATACATGATATGTGTTTCGGCCAGGCAAGATACTAAAACCTAGTGTAACCATATGAAGCAGCCTGTGAACGCAAGAATCACATCGAACTGAGGACACTCATGAGACTGGCTTAAATGTGAACCGTGACTAAACAACGACGCATGTTGTCAAACTTATATGCTATAGTCTGTGGGAGAAAGGCCCCGCCCTCGCTTGGGCGCAGCCGATCTCATTGTCGACGAGAAGTTCGCGACGGATTGGTCGACAAAATGGGCTTCTGCAGTTCGACGGAAGTTGCGGTCGAGCAGGCTGTGCTCGACAGAATCCGGTCAACGAGCTCTGCGTCTGGTCGACGATCTCTGCGCGAAGAGCTCCCGTCAAAGAGCGCTGGTCGACGATCCTGGTCGAAGAAATCTGGTCGAAGAGTTCGGGTCGATGAGCGCTGCTCGGCGAACGCTGTTCAACCGAGCGGTGTCCAAAAGATCGACCAAACTTGCAGAGGTGTGCGAAACTCTGAGGAGGTGTGCGAAACTTCGCCGAGAAGGTATTGGCGAAGTTTGACCTGCGGAATGGCAGCACGTGGTCGACGGTGCGCACCTGGCGAAACAGACAACATGTATTCTACCTGGCACCTACGCAATGTGCCTGACGGTGAAACCAAATATCACAGAAAATATTCCTCACGTTGCGTCTCAAGAAGAACGTTCCTCACATTGCATCACCCATCATTCATTCCCCTCTCCCCTGCCCCACTCAAACCACGAGTCACCTTTTTCTAACCCTTCAGCTCCCCTCCCTGCCTCACCCAAAGTACCTTGTAGCTTGCCTTACTCTTTCCACTCTCTTCCCTACCTCACTCAAAGGACTGTTTACCTTGCCTAACCCCTCCCTGACTTGTCCCACATGGCCTCACTCCTTTCCCTGCCCCACCAAACACTCCAATAAATCTCATGGTCTTCTGAACTACGAGGCTAAGTAGGATGGAATCGATATAGGAGAGAACTGCCTGATGAAAATGCCTGGTCTAGAAAGGTACGGGGGCAACTCAGCAGCAGTACGGGGTAAGAATATAGTTGAAGTAGGTAACTGATCCTATCACAACTTGGTAAAGCAGGTGAAATAAAGGCGGAATAATTCCAACTTGGATTATTATGCTATGATCCAAGCGATTTGATTCTCAAGCAGCCGAGCTCCATAATGCCCATATAGTCCAATTATTTTCAGTCGTGAAAGAACTACCACCCTTCCCCCTTTCTAAGCACACATTGTTCCCATACAAGTCAACCACCCAACGCCAAACAGCACCCCGAGCACATGCAAACAGCAACAATACCTTCCTTGGTTATCAACCACTGCCCTGCTCTACTTGCGTCCGAGATTTCCAAAGAAGTTTGTGGCCTTCTCGAACCCTTGCTTCACGTCGTCCGCTGCCTTCCTGGCACCTTCCCCATTCTCAAACCCCTGCTTCACCTCATTCGCTGCCTTCTTGGTATCCTCCCACCCTTTCTCCAGCTTTTCCGCTTGCTTCTTTTTGTCTTTCACCACCCTATCCCATTCCTTCTTAGAATACTTCGAAAGCTCCTTTCCAACCTCAGCGATGGCTTTCATTTCACTCGGCCCGATCTTCACCTTGACCGCCTTCCCCTTGAGCATCCGTCGGATCTCCTGCATCAGTGGTAAGATGGACGCATCTTTGACTGCCACTGGGGAGGACAGGTCGTCCGCCGCCAAGATGCCAACATCCCGCGCAGGATCAGATTCGAATATCGGCGCTGTAGCGGAGACCACATGCGCGGCGGCAATGAGCACAGAGAGCACCAGTAAGAAAACGCGAAGCACGGCCATTGTAAGCAACCACCGGATTGGATTCGAAGGAAGCAGATGGAGTGGCCTCGCAAATGAATTGTGCGGAGCTAAATAGTGCCGCGAGCTGGGGCTGGTTTACTATTGGTTGGGTGCGGTCGATGCGATTATTCGTTGCTAGAGGCTATTGGCGCGACGCGAAATCTGCCGCTGGAAACGGGATGATTGGTCGAAGCGCGTTACTTGGTGATAGGCACTGAGCGTGTCTGGAAGTTTGCCGTCGTTCCTTGTCACTCACGCCATGGGCTAGCCCTAAGTGTTGAATTCACAGCCCAACTTCATTCTAGGACGCGTCACAATTGTCACAATCGACGGCGATCGATCGTGCCCATCACAGGTGGCGCGGCATCTGCGGGCTGCGTCTCCAATCGCATGGTCGATGCGTCATTTGACGCCATCTGACCTCGGCAATCGGAGGGATATCGATCGTGGCGAGGAGACTGGAGACACTAGACGGAAAAAAGAAACGAAACTATTCCCGAATTGACGAAGTTACTGCACACCCTGTACATCGCTCACAGGGTCGGTGTGACATTTGTTACACGTCCTTAGCACTTCAGGAGGCGCGAAAGTGACCGATATTTGGTTACCAGCGCGAAGCAAGCTGGTGCCAGACATGAGGCGCGGCGAGAAACGCGGTGGGCAGAAAGTCTCGCAATCATTGCAGGAGTGGTACAAATGTAGGCCCGTGAGTTGCGGAGACGTCAATAATGATAACAAATGTCTAGCGCTTACACTCCAGCTATCTCCTCAATAGGATTAGTCAAAGAAGAGTGTGCTAAATTGCAACGTCAAATAGGTGACAAGAAATTGAAGTCTGTAATCAATAAGGGTTCCCAAGTGTGCGCTTATTATTGAATTCCGGCCATAAGCGCAGTTCTTGAGATAGAATGGCATGCGCCTAACATAGGCCAGCGCTTATATCCGGGGCGGGGCCATACGGTACAGCAAACCTATTCATGATTCATTAGTAAATATAGTCACTTATAGTAAGCGCACACACACACACACACCGCCTGAACAAGCAGCCCCAGGGTTTGTACTGTCATGACTCACTATGTGCATGGAGAAATTAGTGGGTTAGTGTCAAATCAAACAGTCAGAAAATATGACCTTGGAGCGTGCCACCACCTACATCAAGAGAGGCAGATGAGCAACATCCACCATCCCCACACCTCCTGTTGCTGGCCTCTCTCACCTATACCATCAACCAATCGCACCTGTTTAAGTTTAACCCTTTCTGCAGCCCTTCCACCAGCAACATTACTTCCCCTTCGAGCAGCCAAGGACACTACCACCGCCTCCCTCTCCTCCGTTGCACATGCGTGGCTTGAAGCCTTCTTTCACTGCCTGCTCAGCCATCCTGTGCTTCCAGCCTCGCCGTAACAAGGTTAGTCAGTCTGCATGTGCACGGCCTGCAGTAGCCATACCATCAATCACACATCTGCTTGTGAATGCTACTCTGGCACCGCTGTGTGCACGCCACGCTGCGCCTCGCCACGCACTCCATGCCAAACATGCCGTCATCTTGGGATCATCGGATGCGGGGCAGCAGCAGGAAGCCATCGAAGCCAGGGTGCCGGCCTGCTGTGCTGCGCACCGACCGCCTTCCTCCACCCGCCCCTCCCTCCACCACCCCGCCTCCCCTGCTCCCACCTTCTGCACCACCTGCTGCACCCTCTCGCCCCAAACTCTCACTCTCACTCGCTCTGCCATGCTGCCACGCACTGCCAACTGTCACACCCTCTGCTGCCGCTGCTGTTGCGCTTTCATGTGGCCGAGGGCTCATCTTCCCCTGGCCTGCTGTTGCGCTTTCATGTGGCCGAGGGCTCATCTTCCCCTGGCCTGCTGTTGCGCTTTCATGTGGCCGAGGGCTCATCTTCCCCTGGCCTGCTGTTGCGCTTTCATGTGGCCGAGGGCTCATCTTCCCCTGGCCTGCTGTTGCGCTTTCATGTGGCCGAGGGCTCATCTTCCCCTGGCCTGCTGTTGCGCTTTCATGTGGCCGAGGGCTCATCTTCCCCTGGCCTGCTGTTGCGCTTTCATGTGGCCGAGGGCTCATCTTCCCCTGGCCTGCTGTTGCGCTTTCATGTGGCCGAGGGCTCATCTTCCCCTGGCCTGCTGTTGCGCTTTCATGTGGCCGAGGGCTCATCTTCCCCTGGCCTGCTGTTGCGCTTTCATGTGGCCGAGGGCTCATCTTCCCCTGGCCTGCTGTTGCGCTTTCATGTGGCCGAGGGCTCATCTTCCCCTGGCCTGCTGTGCGTGTGCCTGGCATGCCACTCTCAATCGCCCGCACCCTGTCTCCACTTCTCTTATCTTGGCTATCTCCCCTGCCTTTCCTCCTCTGACCCTCACCGCCCTTCCCTTCTAGGCAGCAAGCCTTTTCTGCTGAGCTAGCAACCTTGGCTGCTGAGCTGGCAACCTTGGCGGTTGAGCTGGCAGTCATACCAGTAGAGGGGACAGTGGTACCAACAGAGCAGGCAGCAGTGCCAGCTGCTGTGCCAGCAGCAGCTGCTGCAGCAGTGGAGCCAACAGCGCAGTGAGCAGGTGCATTGGGAGGAGCAGGAGGGTGTGTGGCAGCAAGAGCTCAAGGTGGCTCGGCCGTGCTGACAGCACCTGCCTTGGGTCGGTCGCTGCGCCGCTTCTTGAGGACCGGGAAGGAGAGAGCGGGCTGCTTGAGGGGCAATGTTGAGAGTTTGGAGATGCGGTCTGCAGTGGTACCGGCGGTGGCACTTGTGGTGGCACCTGTGGTGGCAGCTGCGGTGGTAGCTGTGGCGGCAGCTGTGGTGGCAGCAGTGGTGGCAGCTGTGGTGGCAGCTGTGGTGGCAGCTGTGGTGGCAGCTGTGGTGGCAGCTGTGGTGGCAGTTGTGGTGGCAGCTGTGGTGGCAGCTGTGGTGGTAGCTGTGGTGGCAGCTGTGGCGGCAGCTGTGGTGGCAGCTGTGGTAATAGCTGTGGTGGTAGCTTTGGTGGCAGGGCAGGATACCTGTGATGTGTCTCCACGGCTCGCGAGTGTATCATCTTGAGGCGCTCTTGCTGTTGCTCGTATGCTTGCTGTGGTTGTTCGTGTGGATCCTGTTGCGGTTACTCCATTGCTTCCTGCTGTGCTTGCTGCTGCTGCAGCGACGGCGGCTAACTCAGCTGATAGCAGCACAGCAGCTTGTTCTTCTGCTGCTGCCTTGCTGCGCTGCACCCCACCAGCACTTCCCGCACTGCCAGCACACCCATCCCCATCCCCATCCCCATCCCCATCGCCATCGCCATCGCTGCTGTCTCCCGCCCTCACCTCACCGCCTCCCCCACCACTCCCCTCCCCTACCTCTCTCCTCCTCTTCCTCACGGACCTGCTCCTCTTCCCACTCACTCTCACGCCTGCCCCTGCCTCACCCCCTGGGGCAGGCGGGCAGGCATCTGGCGATGCCAGCGGTGCAGGCAGAGGAGCAGCAGCAGGGGAGGTGGCCGGGGGGGCAGGGAGTGAAGGGGAGAGAGGGCGAGAGGCCATGCGGGATGGATCGGTGGGTTGAGGAAGGGAGGAGCAGGCAGGCAGAAGCGGTGAGGCGATGCAGGAGGCGGGGGCAGGCTCGTATGTTACAGTCGGGCCACGGGGGCAGGTTGTAGCACAAGCAGGCACGGCCATGCAGCTGCCTCCTTGCAGGGCCGCTGCGTGCAGGGCGCGAGGGCTCCTCTTGCCCTTGGTGGCTGCGGCCGTGGCACCAGCGCCAGCTGAGGCAACTGTGGCAGCGGTAGCAGCAGCGACAGCGGTGGCAGCGGAGGCAGTACCACTGGTCGCCACACTGCATGCAGCCCTGGGAGCAACACTCACACTCGCTTCTGCTGCACCCCCAACAGCCACTGCTCCTGCTCTCCCCTTACCCACACGCACTGCCTTGCCTTCCCCGCCTGCTGCCAGCTTCCGCTTGGCACTGCGAGAGCCTTTCAGCCCGGACGCCTTCAGTTCCGAGGCAGCACCTGCGGTGCCGATTCCCCCACGTGCTGTCGCAGCTGCTTTGCCTGACGGCGCTACAGTTTTTGCTACAGCCAGAGGCGTCGCTGTGCGTGCGGGAGAGGGTGCGGTGAGCAGCGATGCAGTGGGTGGTGCGGTGGGAGGAGGCGATTGAGTGGCAGGAGGAGTAGTTGCAGCGGTATCAGCCTTGAGGCGCGATGCCAGGCGGGCCACAGCGCGGCGCAGGGTCTGATAGTGGCGCGGGGTGGCAGGGAGAGGAGGGACAGGGAAGGGAGATAAGGTGAATGCAGCAAGAGGTGAATAGTCAGCAGCACTTGATCAGCATTCTCCATGACGACAGCAGCAGGTTCGCTGCTCACCTTGATCTCTGGGCGCAGGTCCACAGGCAGGGCAGAGGCGTGGCTGATGAGCGCGCGCAGATGTGACAGACGCTGGGCGGCCTGGCGCTCTGACAGCTGTGACTGAGATGAGAGTGCCTTGCTGAAGCAAGACAGCCACTCAGAAGCTGCCTCGTGTCGCTGTTTGGCTTCCCCGAGAACGGCATCAGTTGTGCCTACTGTGTGCGAGCCCTGGAGGACAGACAGGGGAGGGGAGGGGTGAAGGACGAGGATTGAGAGATGGAAGAAGGTGGGACAGAAAAAGACTCTTGGCATGCACACAGAGAGTATAATGGAGCGAAGAGAGCAACGGAAAGACAAGAGAAGTGGGGTTGGAGACACTAAGATCTGCTCGTTACACAGTATCGCCGTAAGTGCAATTCTGTTTGTATAAGCCACTATCTCACCGTCTGCACCAGCTGTGCCAGGGTGGAAGGTCGGGGCCGTGGGCGGCCAATGAGAGCGCTACACGTGGCAGCCCTCCAGCAGTGGGCGGCCACTGCCCTCTGCATCACCGCCAGCGTGCCGCCCGCCTCAACAGAGCAGCCTGTCCCTGCCTCCGACACCGCCGCTGCCGCTGGCCCTGTCGGCACTGTTGGCCCTCCTCCACCATCCTTGGCGCTCTGCCCTGCCGACTGCTGCACCTCCTGTTGCCCTCCAGCCACCACTCCCACAGTCGCTGCCGCGGCAGCAGCTGCAGTGCCGGTGACATGCTTCGTGTGATCCCCTTGCACCAGATGCTGCTGCTGCTGCTGGCGTGTGGGCGGTGAGAGAACTGCATTCACGTGCAGCAGCCACGAGGCAAGAGGCTCTGCTGCCTGCGCTGCTATTGAATCTGGTGCCGCTGGTGTGGCAGCAGGGGCAGTGGAGGAGAGCGATGGCGGAGAGGCAAGTGGCATGTCGAGTGGAAGACAGGAGGCCACCTGCAGATGGGATGCGGATTGGGGGTTGAGAGTGAGTGACTGAAGGCCCGATCGCAAACAAAGATTTGACAAGTGGCAGGAGATGATATCATTTGAAATATAAAGATAAATACCTACTTGAGACAAAGGGTCAGCCATAACCTGAAACAATGCTGAAAAATCACCTGAAGCAGACAGCTGAGTATGGAGGGAGGCAGGGGTTCGGCATGACGTGGCAAGGACAGGGTGGTGGAGAGCGCTGATGTCAGCAAGTGAGAGCAACGCGTTGCTGATTGGACGAGTTGCTCCAAGCTGTGCACGGCTGCGATCCTGGTGGGGCCGAGCAGAGAGTGAGAGAGCGAACAGGGGGGGACATGCCGCACGATGCAAGAAGCAGGCTGGCTGAAATGTGCACCCTGCTCTGAGTCGAGAGAGGATGGGGTTCAGCTTGGCCGAGAGAGTGTGTGCGCATGGCAAACCGGGTGCAATGCGTGTGTGGTGGCGGGGGCACAAGCATACATCTGTGCAATGCGTGAATGCCATGTGCGGGAAAGTGCGCGTTGAAGTGAGCAAGAGCGTGCAAGCATGTGCACATGCGTGCATGTGTACACGTTTGGATGAGCGAGAGCGGTACCTGGGGTGGAGAGGGAGAGCGCGAGAGAGCAGGCCCACCAAGCACCGCAGCGACACGCGGGGCAGGCGACGAGGCTGCACAGCAGGAGGGCGTGAGGGACAGACGAGGGGGAGGGGGAGGGAGAAGCATGGAGAGGAGCGAGTGGAGGGAGCGAGTGGAGGGAGCGAGTGGAGGGAGCATGCACTCGCGCTGCTGGTGGCAAGTGAGGCGGATGCATGTGCAGGTGGAAGAGGGACGTGCAGGTGGAAGAGGGACGTGCAGGTGGAAGAGGGACGTGCAAGTGGAAGAGGGACGTGCAAGCGTGCTCCTGTGGTGGTATGGCATTTTAGCAGGAGCAGTGGGGCGGCAGGACGTACATGGAACAATGCTGAGACGGCAGGTGTGACGGCTGCTGAGGCGAGGGAGGAGCAGAACGGGCATGTGAAGGGACCCTGCTGCTGCTGCTGCTGCTGCTGCTGCTGCGGCGGCAACGGCTGCTGTTTCTCAGTGCTCTGGTCGTGCCGTTGCCGCTGCTGCGGCTGTGGGTGGCTGTCTCTGTCTGTACCTGGTGGAACTACCCCACCACCCGCCCCCCCACCCTGCTCTGCCCTTGCCTACTGCTGCCCTGCTGCCTCTCGCTTCTGCTCTTGCGCCTTCTCCTGCTGCTGCTCGTCTTGAGCGGCGGAGGGGGCGGCAGCATGCAAGTATGAGAGACAGTCGGCGTGGAATCTGTGAGGGTGTAGAGTGAGGCAGGCAAGGGGAGGCGGTCGGAGGGAAGGCACACACAATGGAGGGAATGGGAATTGCAGCAGGCTCGCAATGAAGGAAAGGAAATATGCAGTGAGGGTGGGGGCAACCGTGGAGCAAGGAGGGGGGAGTATGCTTTATGATAAGATCCACATACCTCATGCTGCATCCGTCGCATATAAGTGCATCCTTCATGCCTTCGCCCTTCAATCCATATCCATTCTCTAACTTCTGCTCCTCCTCCTTTGCTTCACCCTTCTCCAAACGCACTGCTCCCATATTCCCTTCCCTATCGCCTCTTGCTTCTCCTGCCTTCTCTTCCCTCTTCTCCCATGACATCCCTGCGCCGCCTGCACCACTCTCTCGCCCAACAGCACCGCACACAACAGCAGCGGCTCTCCTCCCACCGCTGCGCTTTCCCCGAACCCGGACATCCCCACCGCCTCCTCCCGCCTGCCCGCCAACCACTGCCTGCCCGTCGCTGCCGCCAGAGAAACCAGCAGAAGCAGCACATGCAGGGTGGGCGTGGTGCAGCACCGCACACCAGCAAACGGTGTCGGACGAAGAGACGCTTCCAGCAACCGCCGCCGCAGCAGCACCAGGCGGAGCAGGTACAGGTGCCTCTGATGCCTCTGGCGCCCCTCGCACTGCTGCTGCTACTGCCGGTGCCACACCTGGTGCCGGCGCATGAGCTGGTGCTGTGGCTGTGGGGGCCGTGGCTGCGGGAGATGCGGCGGCAGCCACGGCATCTGCGGTGGCACCTACTGCACTGCCTGCCAGCACTGCGGGATGAGGAGCATTGGCTGACGCAGAGAAGGGTTGAGCCGGCAGAGCAGTGAGGTGTGAGAGGGCAGCGGTGCGGCGGGCCAGGGAGGAGATGCGATGAAGAGCTGCTTGCACGCTGCTGTGCATGTGCTTCAGCTTCCGCACCACCTCCTCCTCACACACCCGCCCCTTGCCCTCCCCGTGCAGCCCCTTACCCTCCCCTGGTGCCACACTCCCCTCCCCTTGTGCCCCCTCGCCTCCTCCTCTCGCCCCCTCGTCCCCTGAGCCCCCCCGGAGGGCAGCACAGCAGGCAACGAGCCAGTCGTCCAGCGCTGCCACTGCCTGCTGCACCTGCCGGGCCTCCCCGCTCGCCACCACGCTGCTGCTGCCGCGCACCTGGTGTGAGAGTGGGTGGGTGGGCCACAGGGGGAAACGAGGAGCGGTGGCTTGCTTGGGGCAACGTTAAAGAAGGGAGATTGTAGCTGACACTTTGGAGAATTGAAATGAGAGGATTGGATGGAGGGAGAGACGAGATGAGCTGGAGTGGGAATGGAGAAGGGCGCGTTGGAGGAAGAAGGGAGGGAGGGATGGAAGTTAAGGAACACAGCCGAGTGCACATTGCGGGAGGAGATGGAAGCACAGTATGAAACGTGAGATGCCACGCATATTCAGAGATATGGCTTGTGTGAGGCATACCTGGAGGCCCTTGAGGTGCGCAAGTGTTGTGGCAGGTGCACGGGGCAGCAGCGGAGGTGGTGAGGTGGGCGCAGGGAGGCGTGGGGCGAGCAGTTGCTGCACCTCGCTGACCCACTCCCTGGTAGGCAGGGCACATCCACGGAGGGGGGTGGGTGGGCACAAGGGTGTGTGTGTGTGCGCTAGGAGTGGAAGGCACAGCGGTGAGCAAGCACATAAGTGGGCAGCAGCACAGGGACCGAGAGCACAGGAAGAAACTGTGGTGGCCACTCCCTAAACCCCAGCATTGCACCACAACAAGAGACGTGCGTGGGAGAGGTGCAGGCGCTGACCTGTGGGAGGCGATGACGGTGCTGAGCTGGTGGCACTTGTCGTGCACACACACCTGCAAGGCCTGCACCAATAGCATGGCGTGGAGGGGCATGGGGGCCAACGAGAGGCAAGCAACAGATGGGAGGGCACACAGGTGGGGCCACCAGTCGCTACAACGGCTGCAGCAGAGGTGCCTCGAGCTGTGGCTAGTTCACATGGATAGATGGTACAAGGGCGCTGTACACAAAACAGAATAACCAGATTACTACAGATAGAACACACGCACATAACCCCCATTCACCCTAGCGCACAACCCTCACTTCACCCCTTGCTCCACTCCCCTCCCTCCATCTCTCTCACCATGCCACGTGCCACCATCGCCTCCACCTCCTGCACCTCACAGCTGGCAGGGCCACGTGTCAGCATCTCATTGGCCGCCTGCACCCACTGCCGTGCGTCCGCCAGGGCTGAGTGCAGCAGGGAGAGGCGCGCCGAGGGGGGCGGAGAGGGGGCGGATGCAGCAGGCTGAGCAAGGCCCTCGGATGGAGCTGCTGATGGTAGTGGTGGTGCTGATGGCGTTGGGTGGGGTGGAGGGTGGGCGAGCGCATCAGTGAGTGGGTAAGCCGCCACCAGTGCCTCCACCTCCTCCACGCTGGGCTTGCCTCGCCTCTCACCACCACCCTGCACCGCACTGTCCTGCGCCACACCACCACTCTGCACCGCAGTATCTGCAGTGCCAGACAGCAGGGCATGGGCGGCGACCTCCCAGTGCAGGCGCTGCACCACCGCGCGCACAGCCGGCAGCTCGGGCACCGCCACGCCCAGTGCTGCCCCCTGGGTGAGCAGCGACGACAGCTCAGCCGCACTGGCGCTCGCTGCTGCTGCCGGCACCAGTAGCTCCGGGGGGGGCTTGCCTGCAGGCGCAGCTGGTGCTGATGCAAGGGGTGTGGCGCCTGACTCGGCGGCGATGGGCACTGCAGCCGGGCTGGCTTGGGTGCTCTGTGCTGCAGCTGCTGTGGTCGGTGTGACTGTGGTGGGTGGTGAGAGAAAGGTGGTGGCGGTGTGGAGGGCGTGTGAGGTGGCGGATTGCCAGGCGGCGAGAGAAGAGAGCAGCGAGGCGAGCTGTGGTGCGTGCGGTGGACGCACGGGCAGCGCAACGACCTCTGCAGTCAAGGCCTGTGGCAAACGGCGGATGGAGGGGATGTGAGAAGGACGAGGGTAGGTGGGAAAAGGGGGAGACGGGGGAGAGGGTTGGGTGGGGTGGAGGGGGGGGAGGGAAGGAGGGAGGATGAGATGGAGTCAGGTGGACGCAGTCAAGTGTACCGGGGTCGAGCTAAGTGAGAGTTGGACACATATGCAGCTAAAAAACAAACAATTGATACCCGTTTCGACATTTGACGCCCAGCTTTCTTTTCCCAGAGCTGACCAGAGAAAAAGAAGTCAGGCCTACCACATACCTCAATCTCTTCCACAGTCACTCGGGCATCCGCGCCCTCCTGCACCCCCCCTCCCTCGCCCTCCCCTCGCCCTCTCCTCCTCCGCTTCCACCTCCCTCCACTGCCTCTCTCCTTCCCCCCAGCGGGGGTAGCAACACCAGCACCAGTACCAGCAGTGACGGCAGCAGCGGAGCGGCGCACAGCCAGCAGCAGCTGGTCGCCTCGAGCTGCTGCTGCCCTTGCTGACGCCAGCACTGACATCAGGTGAGCATGGCCTGCCAGCGATGCTGGGATGGCCTCCGCCTCCCTGTGCGGGCGAGCGAGGGATGTTTGGGGGGGCGGGGAGGAGGCAGTGGGGGTGGGGGGAAAGGGCAAAAGGGGAGGAAGGGGGGATACAGCGGGAAAAGAAACATTTGCGGAGAGGATGGGTGGGCGAGACAGGATGTGAGAATCCCATAGTTGGGATGAGAGGTGAACTCAAAAGTTGGTATATTGGGGAAAAAGAGCAGTACAGTACAAATAGGGCATGAGGTGAGTGAGCACAGTTAAGGTTCCCCCCCACCATTATTGGCTAACCAATGGGATGGGGGCCCCAGCTCAATAAGTGGGGTTGAACCAATTATTGGAGGAGCAAAACATTGAGGGTTTGGCCACCAATGTTGGCTCCCCAACAATAATCGTTGCTTGGGTTGCGGGACCCCAACCAAAAGTCGGACGTCCTCTTCAATGTGTACACCCATGATTTGGGTGTACACTAATAGGTCTAACCATAAACATGATACAATACAACACAGGGTACGTAGCTAAGTGTCTCACACGGAGGGGGATACGGAAGCACGGAATGCGATGCGAGACGCCTTCATGTGGGCAATTGCGCAGTGGACTGGAGGATTCGCCAACATGATTGCATTCACTGCACCACTACCTTTTTTACAACACCTCGTCTCCCCACGTGTATCACTCACCCTCGCCTCCCCCTCTCACCTGCTCATCGCCTCGCCCTCCTCCAGGCTGCACCCCTCCTGCAGCGCCCTCTGCGCCCTGGCCTGCCAGTCGCTGCCTGCCGCCACCACCGCGTGCACGCGCGCCACCACTGCACTGCCCGTGGGCAGCCTGAGGGTGGGGTGAGTACAGGCCGTGGGAGGGATGGGACGGGAGGGAGAGTAGGGTTGGGAGGAGTGGGACAGGTGCGACGGACAGGGTTGAGTGAGAGGCACGGGAGAGGAAGCAGGTGGAGTGTGTGCTTTTCATGACACACCAAATGACAGACATAAGCAGGCCTGAACCTTCAAGCTGCAAGTTGCGAAGGATCTAGTAGCAAGGCAGGAATGTCTCTCTCTCATTCTCTCCCTTTGCCCCATCTATTTCTCTTGAATCTCCCTCCCTCACTCTCCTGCTCTCAACTATCTCCCTACATCTCCCACTCTCCTTGCTCTCCCACACGCTCACCGCTCCCCCTGCGCCTGCAGCGCCAGCAGCTCGTCCACTGATGCACGGCGCATGAGCGCCCCCTCCGCCGCCTCCTCCCACTGCATGCGCTGCAGCTGCTGCTGCACCTGCTCCATCTCGCCCACTGGCAGAAGGGGGGGAGAGGAGTGTGGGGATTTGTGGGTTGGAAGTGGTTCAGGAAAAAACGAAATGTGCAGCAACAGCCACAGCGGTGGCAGCAGTTAGGGATGAGCAAGTGGCGAACACGAACGTGTTCGTGTTCGCCCCTACACGAACACCTTCGTTTGCCGAACCGAACACTGTTCGGTTCGGCGAACACTTTGAGCAAAAAATGGTGTTCGCCGTTCGCCTGTGAAGGCGTGTTCGGGCGAACCTCGAACACTGTTCGTGTTCGTCGCGGGCAAATTGCAGCAGCGGCCCGAACACGAACGTGTTCGGGCGAACATCGAACACTGTTCGGCGAAAATTTTAAGCCAAAAAAAAATACCTGTTCGGTTCGCCTCGAAAGGTGTTCGTTTTTTTGCTCAACCCTAGCAGCAGTAGCGGCAGGAGGAGGCGATGGAAGCAGAAAACAGTGATGATGATGCTGTTGTTGTTGACCATGCAGGTGTGACGCTGCTCCTGCTCCTCACACTCCCTCTCCACGGCATTCACCGCCCCACCCTCCACCGCTCCACCCTCCACCGCCCCACCCCCACTCACGAGTTACGTGCATGCGCGTGCCGGCCTCCACCAGCGCTGCCAGCTCCTCCTTCCACCCGCTCTGCCTGCCCGACGCGGGTGTGACAGTGGCGGGTGTGACAGTGGCGGGTGTGACAGTGGCGGGTGTGACAGTGGCAAGTGGGACAGCGGCGGAAGGCGACGGGAGAAGCAGAGTAGCTTGGACAGCGGCAGGGCAAGGGGCAGCAAGAGGGGTGGCGTCAGTGGCAGAAGCTGTGAGCGCAGCAGGGGCTGTGGCAGACGGAGTGGGGATGGATGCAGGGTGGTGGGAAGAGGGAGTGCAGGCAGCAACGGTGGGAGGAGGGGTTGCTGGAGAGGGAGCAGCAGCAGCGGTGGTGCGAGTGACAGGCAGGGGGGTGGCAGGAGCAGGTGTGGTGGGGGGAGCAGAAGGGGGAGAGAGTCTGGAGGGGGGAGGGCTGCCCGGGCCACACTTGCTGCTTGCCACACTAGCTGCTCCTGCATGCCCCTGCCCCTCCTCTTGCCCCTGCCCTTCTTTTTTTCCCTGTTTGTGTGCCTGCTTGCCCCTCCCCCCATCCTTGCCCCCCAGTGCCGCCAGCAGTGCGCGTGCCCTCTCTCCCCAGCGCCGTGCGTCGTCCCGCCGGGCCTGCAGCTGCGCCACCGCTGGCAGCCGCACCGCCACGCCCCTCGCCTCCTGCAGCAACCCGTCCATGTCCTGAGGGGGGAAGGACGGGGGGACGGGGATTGAAGACGCACGGGGGGGCGCCGGGTGAGCTTGGGTGGGGAACGAGACACAGGCAGGGAGGCGAGGAAGGGGGGAGGAGGTTTGGGCAATGAGGCGAGCGGGAGAGATGCAAGGAGAAGCAGCGCTGACTGGCGGAACAAAAGGCGCGAAAGCAGGACAGGTTGCCGGGAACGAGAGAGCAGCGCGGTGGACATGGCAGTGTGGGGAGGTGACAGCGAGGTGGGGAGGTGGCAGCGAGGTGGGGAGGTGGCAGCGAGGTGGGGAGGTGGCAGCGAGGTGGGGAGGTGGCAGCGAGGTGGGGTGGTGGCAGCGAGGTGGGCAGGTGGCAGCGAGGTGGGGAGGTGGCAGCGAGGTGGGGAGGTGGCAGCGAGGTGGGGAGGTGGCAGCGAGGTGGGGAGGTGGCAGCGAGGTGGGGAGGTGGCAGCGAGGTGGGGAGGTGGCAGCGAGGTGGGCAGGTGGCAGCGAGGTGGGGAGGTGGCAGCGTGGTGGGGAGGTGGCAGCGAGGTGGGGAGGTGGCAGCGAGGTGGGGAGGTGGCAGCGAGGTGGGCAGGTGGCAGCGAGGTGGGCAGGTGGCAGCGAGGTGGGGAGGTGGCAGCGAGGTGGGGAGGTGGCAGCGAGGTGGGGAGGTGGCAGCGAGGTGGGGAGGTGGCAGCGAGGTGGGCAGGTGGCAGCGAGGTGGGGAGGTGGCAGCGAGGTGGGGAGGTGGCAGCGAGGTGGGGAGGTGGCAGCGAGGTGGGGAGGTGGCAGCGAGGTGGGCAGGTGGCAGCGAGGTGGGCAGGTGGCAGCGAGGTGGGGAGGTGACAGCGAGGTGGGCAGGTGGCAGCGAGGTGGGGAGGTGACAGCGAGGTGGGGAGGTGGCATCGAGGTGGGCAGGTGACAGCGAGGTGGGCAGGTGACAGCGAGGTGGGCAGGTGGCAGCGAGGTGGGCAGGTGGCAGCGAGATGGGCAGGTGACAGCGAGGTGGGCAGGTGGCAGCGAGGTGGGCAGGTGGCAGCGAGGTGGGCAGGTGACAGCGAGGTGGGGAGGTGGCAGCGAGGTGGGGAGGTGGCAGCGAGGTGGGGAGGTGACAGCGAGGTGGGCAGGTGGCAGCGAGGTGGGCAGGTGGCAGCGAGGTGGGCAGGTGGCAGCGAGGTGGGCAGGTGGCAGCGAGGTGGGAGCGAGGTGGGTGTTAAAATATATATTGTGTAGCATGCCAACACATGTGACTGTACACCAATTGTGGTGTACAGTTGGGTTGGGACTACACCCAACTTTGGGTGTAGTCTTGCACTTTGGGGTGCCAATCCACCCAATTGTGGTGGAGCCCCCAAATGCAACCCTCTTGACTTGTGGGTACCTCACTTCCCACAATTGAGGTTACCCCAAGCCAAGTGGGCCTAGGGTTGCCTCACTTCTACAAAGTGTGGGCAACCCAACCCACTTGACCTATGGTTCCCTCACTTCCCCAAGTGAGGTCAACCCAACCTATGGTCACTTTCATCCTTCCCTTCCAACCTTCCCTTCCAACTATGTATGCTAGGTTGTTCCTCTAATCTCATGACTTGTTCAATTTGTTACTTTCACATGGTATAGAGCTACTTGTTCCTAGGCCTTACCTCTCCCTCCCTTCAGTTTTTTTTTCCCATGGGCCCACCCCACAGCTACAAACCCTTTCCTACGCGTGGCTCAACTAGCCATCACTAGCATACTCTTGCCGCGACCTACGCCGTCGCCGCCGTTCCCCCCCCCTCCCGCCGCGATTACGCCTTCCTCGCCTGCGGATTCCACCGCCGCGAGCGCAACGCCGCTGTCCCCTCCTCCCCCCCGCCGCGACCCCCTGTCGCCGCCTCCCCTTCTCGCCGCCGCGCCTGATTCGGCGCTGCCTGCGCATCCTGCCGCCGCGACACCTCGTCGCCGCCTGCCCGCTGCCCGTCCCTCCGCCGCGACGTCACGTCGCCACGTTCCCGCCGCTGCGCCTGCTACGGCGCCGCCTGCGCATCCTGCCGCCGCGACGCCTCGTCGCCGCCTGCCCGTCCCTCCGCCGCGACGTCTCGTCGCCGCGTTCCCGCCGCCGCGCCTGCTTCGGCGCCGCCTGCGCATCCTGCCGCCGCGACGCCTCGTCACCGCCTGCCCGTCCCTCCGCCGCGACGTCTCGTCGCCGCGTTCCCGCCGCCGCGCCTGCTACGGCGCCGCCTGCGCATCCTGCCGCCGCGACACCTCGTCGCCGCCTGCCCGTCCCTCCGCCGCGACGTCTCGTCGCCGCGTTCCCGCCGCCGCGCCTGCTTCGGCGCCGCCTGCGCATCCCACCGCCGCGACGCCTCGTCGCCGCCTGCCCGTCCCTCCGCCGCGACGTCACGTCGCCGCCTCCCCTTCCCGCCGCCGCGCCTGCTTCGGCGCCGTCTGCCCGTCCCGCCGCCGCGACAGCTCGTCGCCCCCTGCCCGTCCCGCCGCCGCGACCTAACATCGCCGCCTGCGCATTCCGCCGCCGCGACTGCTCGTCGTCACCTCCCCGCCCCCACCACCCCCCCCCCCCCCCGCCGCGATTTCGCATTGCCGCCTCCCCTCCCACCGCCGCACCTGCTTCCGCGTCACCCACGCATCTCGCTGCCCCTTCTGCATCGCAACCCTCCCGCAATTTCCCCCGCCGCAACTGCAACATCGTCGCCCCGCGGTTCCCGTTAACGCCACTGCGCCGCCGCCGCCCTACCGCCGCGACTGCTTCGGCGCCGTCTGCCCATCCTCCACCGCGACCGCGCCATCCCCGCCCACACTTCCTGCCGCCGTGACTACCCCGTCGCCGCCTGCAGATTCAGCCGCAACTGCACCCTCCCTTCCTCCTCTCCCTACTCCTCTCCCCCCCCCCTCCCCCTCCCCCTGCGCCCCTCGTTGCCGCGGCCTGCCTGCCGCCGCCGTCCCTCGTTTCGCCGCCGCGGCCCTTCCGCCGTCGCCTGCGCCCCTCGTCGTCGCGGCCTGCTCGCCGCCGCCGCCCCCGAATTTGCCACCGCCTCCCCTTCCCGCCGCCGCACGTTCGCACAGCCGCCTGCGCCCTTGTCACCGTCGCTCCCTGCACCTTGAACGCCTCTGCCCTCCACCGCTGTCTCCCTCCTTTACCCCCCCCCCCCCCCCCCCCCCTCCCTCCTCCTACCAGCGGCAGCAGCAGCGGCAGCAGGGGAAGTGCAGCAGCCTCCGCAGCAGCAACTTCACCCTTGGCCGCCGCGGGTCCACCCGCCGTCGCCCATCATGACTGCTACCCCCCCTGCCCCTCTCCCCCTTCCTCACTGGAGCAGTGTTACTCCTCGCCCCTCCCTTCTCAACACTCCGACCCTCCACTCCTCCCCCCCCCCTTATCTCCGCCTGCTCACCCCCTCCCCCCCTCCCCATCTGCGGCGTTTCCAGCAGCTCCAGCATCAGCAGCAGCAGGACTTCCAGCAGCGGCAGCAACCACAATTTCTCCAGCCGCACCCCCCACATCTCCTCCAGCCGCGGCAATCGCAGCAGCAGCAGTTCTTCCAACACCAACAGCAGCCGCAATCTCTCCAGCCTCACCCGCCACAGTTTCTCCATCCCCAGCAGCAGCAGTCCTTCCAGCCGCAGCAGCGGCAGTCCTTCCAGCAGCAGCAGCTGCCACAGTTCCTTCCACCGCAGCAGCAGCAGTCCTTCCTGCAGCAGCAGCAGCCACAGTCTCTTCAGCCGCAGCAGCAGCAGTGCTTCCAGCAGCAGCAGCTGCCACAGTTCCTTCCGCCGCAGCAGCAGCAGTCCTTCCAGCAGCAGCGGCAGCCACAGTTTCTTCAGCCGCAGCAGCAGCAGTGCTTCCAGCAGCAGCACCAGCCACAGTTCTCTCCATCCGCAGCAGCAGCAGTGCTTCCAGCAGCAGCAGCCACCACAATCTCTCCAGCCGCAGCAACCGCGGCAGCATCGGCGGTGCTTCCAGCAGCAGCAGCAGCCCAATCTCTCCAGCCGCAACCGTCACAGTCTCTCCCACCGCAGCAGCCGCAGCAGCAACAGTACTTACAGCAGCAGCACCCGCCGCTCTCTCCCTCTTCTATCCATGAAACAACTCTCCAGTACTCTGTGTTCCCTCCCTCTCCTTCCCCCCCCACCCTGGACTTTGTCCTTGACAGTGGGGCCACCGAAACCGCACTAAAAGACGCTGGCACCCTCACCCCCCTTCCACTTCCCACCCAGGTTCATGGTGCCGACTCCAGCTTTTCCATCCCCTGCACTCATCTCTCCACCCTTCCTTGCACCGCCTTCCCATCCGGTACAGTCACCGGTCTCCACATCCCTACCCTTCGCAATAACCTCCTCTCCCACCGTGAACTCCAAGGCGTTGGCATTACCGCCATTTACCCTGGCTTTGCTTCCTACTGCGATCTCTACCACACCGCCTCTGGTCGTTTCCTCCTGCGCATTCCCCTTTGCCCTCGCACTCGCCTTTACACGCTCCGCACACCCCGTCCCTCCTTTTGTCACGTCACCACTCGTGCTGGTACTTCCACCGGTCCCCTTCTCCCTCCCCCTCACCCTCCCCCCCCCCCCTCCTCCGATATCCTCCTCCTCTACTCCATCCGCCTCCTCCTCCCCCCCCAACTTTTCCCCCACCCCATCCCCCTCCTCCTCTACTGCCCTCTCCCATCCTGCAGTGCTCCTACATCACAGACTCGGCCATCCCAACTTCGCCGCACTTCGCTCCACCGTCACCTCTCGCCTCCTTAACAGCCTTCCTCCCACCTTACCTCCCCTCCCCTCCTCCCCTGCTCCCCCATGCCCATCATGCATTCATGGCAAGCTCAAACAGTCCCCCCATCACAGTCATCCCACCTTCGCTCCCGCCCCCATTGACCTTGTTCACATGGATCTCTGGGGCCCTTATCCCATCCGCTCCCGTCAGGGGCACAGGTACATGCTCGTGCTCGTCGACGACCACAGTCGGTACTCCACCGTCTTCTTTCTTCACACGAAAGACCAGGTGCCGGCTGTGGTCATCAACTGGGCTGAGCAGTGCCGCAACCACTTCAAACGTCCCATAGGCCGCCTTCACTCTGACGGTGGGGGTGAGTTCATCAATCATACTCTCTCCACTTACTGCAAAACATACGGCATTCAGCAGACCACCACCCTTCCCCACTCCCCTCAGCAAAACGGCATCGCTGAGAGTCGCATCCGTGAGATCACCAAGATTGTGCGCTGCCTCATTGCTCACGCCTCCACCCCTCCCTCCCTCCGGAGCTATGCCCTCATTCATGCCGCCCTCCTCCTCAATCTCCGCTCCCACCCTCAGCATCCCTCCTCCTCCCCCACAGAACTCTGGTCCAAGGCCAAGCCTGACGCCGCAGGCCTTCGTGTTTGGGGCTGCAAGGCGTTCGTCCTCATTCCACCGGCCGACCGCTCCCGCGCTGCTGGCAAGCTCGCTCCTCGCGCTCTGGAGTGCGTCTACCTTGGGCACAATCGTGATTCCCCAGGCTACCTATTCCTCCACCCTCCCACCAATCGCCTCATCCGTAGCATTGACGTCGTCTTCGACGAGTCCACTCCCTACTACTCCACCCCTCCTCCTGACCCCCTCCCTCCTCCCACTCGCCCCCTCGCTTGGACCGACACCATCCTCCCGCCTCTTATCCCTCCAGCGCCTCTCCTCCCACCTGTCGCCGCCCCACTCCCGCCTTCCTCCTCTGCCGACGTCTACGACCCTGCCGCACCCGCCTCCCCCGCTCACTCGGCTGCACCCCCTCCCCCCTCTCCCTCCTCCTCTCATTCTCCTCCTTTCCAGCAGCCGGATCAGCAACAGCAGGGGCAGCAGCAGCAGCAGCAGCAGCCGGATCAGCAACAGCAGGGGCAGCAGCAGCACCAGCAGCAGCAGCAGCAGCAGCAGCAGCGGGAGCAACACCAGCAACGGCAGCAGGGGCAGCAGCAGCAGCAGCCGGGGCAGCAGCAGCAGCAGCAGCAGCAGCCGGAGCAGCAGCAGCAGCAGCAGCAGCCGGGGCAGCCGCATCAGCAGCAGCCGGGACAGCAGCAGCAGCAGCAGCATCAGCAGCAGCAGCACCAGCAGCAGCAGCGGCGCCGTGCCACTTCCCGCTCCTCCCCCTTCCTCCTCCCTTACATCCATACCCGCTCGGTGGACAAAATGCTTGGGGCTCCTCCTCCTGCCTCCATTCAGCTCCTTGAGGACTCCCATGAGGAGTTCCTCAACATTCGGGAGCACACTCCATTCC